ACACTAGATCGCGTGTTCAAGAAAGAGTTGTAATGGACAAATTACATATTACATATTACACGGACATATTAGTCTTTAAATAATCCTAGACAAATACACGAAATAAAAACTCAGGGGTACCAATCCATTAATGTATGGTGTGCTGTCATAGATGGGCATATTTTGGGTCCGATATGTATAGATCAAAAGTTAACTGGAAATCATTATTTGCAACTGTTAGAGCACCAAAGAGAACAATATATAGAAGATTTATCCCTAAATATATCAGCGCTAATTATATGGCGGCCAGACCTGTGCCTCTCCTCACACTGTGGTACAAGTTGAAAATTTTCATAACATCGAATATCCCAAGGGTTAGATAGAGAACGGCGGAACTATGGATTGACCAGCCTCGACTTAACTTTAATGGATTTTTTCCTTTGCCGACACATAAAAAATCACGTGCACAGAACACCTTGTAATAAGGTCGTGGAACTTCGGCAAAGGATATCAGGGACAATCAATCAGTTAAGAGACAATCCGGAAACGTTATAATTAGAGTGTATGAGTATACAGGTATTTAGAATAGTTTTTAGAATTTAGAATTTCTTTATTTTAATGTGTTTTTGTCCTACTTTAATTTGTAAATAATTATTGTTGTTGCCGTCAGTCATTGAAATTATATAAAAATATTGCTATTTTTGCCGATTTGTCAACAACGAGTGAACTAAAATATAAAATATGTTACATCATGCTAATCAGAATAAGATATTCTATTAAACACATATATAATATACAGGGTGTTCAGTTAAGAAAATATATGATGTATGCCAGAAAATTGATAGTGTTTTTATGTCACTTGGAAAAAAACTTGACTACTAACCCTACATTTTGTTTTTTTGTTTACCTTGATATTTCGAAAAACAAAAAAGTTACAGCCAATTAAAATGTTATCAAGATAAATTGATAAATAAATAAATAAAAACACGGTCAGGCAAATGTACATAGAGTAACAGTTGTTCGTATTACGCTATAACGCGAGTTACGCATAGTCACAAATTTTCTGACAGGTATTGCTTACTTTTCAAATAACACTTTAGGTTGAGTTTAAGACGAGACGGTATGGTAAATTAGCTGCGAAAATCAGAGGAACGACTTCAAGGCACGGAGACTACGTGGAATCACTGGGATTGATGACAAGTAATTTCTCTAGGATGAGGGTGGATCTACTCAGGCACACCTACACTACTATCAGAAGAGGTAGGCAATGTAAAAAAAAGTCTACACATGTATTGGTTCAAGTAGATTCTGGTTCCAGTTAGCTGTAATAGTTTTGTTTAATTCATCTATTGCTTAATTTCTGCAATTAAGTAATTAATTATAAATGCTGTTATATATGTTTGGTCTTTAAAGACATTAATAGGAATGTCACAAATTTTGTTATGTCACATACCAGTTATCTTTGTGCCAATTTTAAAGCAGTTTTTTTCAACCCGAATGTTATTACACTTATAATTTCGCTGGAAAGCTTAATATTTTCGGAAATTACAGTACAGGAGGATGAGATTAATTTTAGAAAACGACGAAAATAACTTTTTTATAATATTTTGTTATTATTATAAATTATTTTTCATTAAAAATAAGTGGAACTTTTTTATAAGTTTCTTTTAACTTATGGTATAACCAGACCGGCATCTTAAAAATACTTCAGCGAGACGCGTGCGCCCATAGGACAAGTATTCCTAAGATTTTTCCGCTATTATGGAGTTCAATATGCTGAAAACCCACATGTCGGCTGATATTTCTTTAAGAGTTTAAAATATAATTTTTGTCGAAAAAGAAATATATTTTTTTATTAAATAGTATAAAATATGATTTTACTTTTGTATATCCAGAGATACGAATCTAGACATGTAATCCTATAAATAATTGAAAAAGTGATACGCGAGCATACACTGTATTTCATGTATTTCTTGATTTACTTTTCCATACTTATATGGAAAAAGGTGAGTTTGTTAACACCGTGATTACTTTCACCAAGTGATATATAAGTTGATTAATAAAACGGGCAAACGTCATAATAGCATCCGCGGATAAAATCTACATAAAACATCCCATCTCTCCCAACCCCGTGATACATCTACCGCAAAACTATTTTTGTGTTTTATTATTTAACTACTAACTACTAAACTAAACTACTATTAAAGTACTAACCTTAAACAAAAAAAACGAAATTTGTATATCCAAAATTTCAGAATAAAAGTAAAATACGAAATAATTTCATTCGACTTTTGAGATTTTTTAATTAATAAAAATACATATATTTTTCTAAACAGATAGTATATGAATCGAAATTTCATTTTACAAAATAAAAAAAAAAGCTCCATCAGTCCTTAGCTCTTAGAAAAAAAAAAACTAACTTTATAGACGGTTCATTAAATAGGAATAAGAAAGAAATTCTAAAAAATGCATCATACGTATAAAAGTTTCGTTTGTGTGTTGCCGGATGTAAAAGTTGCTGCGTTGTTAAAAAGCATCATGAACTGTGTACCACTGGCGACAAGTGAAGCAATTAGAGAATGTTATAATGTAATTTGTTTTGAAGTAGTATTTTATAAATATTTCTCAACTCCCGTTTGTAAAATACCTAATTACACATCGATCTAGCGTGCGGGAAACGCCACTTTACCACGTCAGTTGCGTTTCCCACGAATCCGAGTCACTTCGGACATTTCCGGGGATTTACCGTACGGGTTTGGGAGCAATCGGATGTTTTCGGAGATATTTCCCATGTCAATGAATTTATTCGTGTTGTTTTGCAAAAAAGTACCCAAAGACTAACGGTTATAGAAAAAGTATAGTATGCAACATGTTCGGTAAATTTTTTAAGTAACTCGTATATTATACACTCGTTCCGCTCGAGTCAAGTAAACTCGTGCCACTTCGGACATTTCCGAGATCTTACCGCACGAGTTTGGGAGCAATCGGATGTTTTCGTTTTTTAAACACTGGTGAGTCAAATGCCGTTTACCGCACTTGTTGCATAATATACTATTTCGGTGCAAGAAAATCGTTAGCTTCAAGTGGTCTTGGTTTCACAACCAGTGCAGCGGCCAGTGGCTTACCAAATAGTACACGAATTCTAATTTCCAGTGCATCTTGCGAAAGTTCATTTTGAGTATCAAATAATCAGTAAAAAAAATATAGTTCCAATTTTATGGAAATAAAAATGAAAGACTGTTGATTTACGTGTGTTTACTTTGATTGCCCATGCAAGTTGTAGCTAAAATCAGAATATCACATTTGTCTACGCTACTTACAGGTTATTTTCGATAATTTGAAAATGAACCAAATCCACAAACAATATATATATATATATATATATATATATATATATATATATATATATATATATATATATATATATATATATATATATATATATATATATATATATATATATATATATATATATATATATATATATATATATATATATATATATATATATATATATATATATATATATATATATATATATATATATATATATATATATATATATATATATATATATATATATATATATATATATATATATATATATATATATATATATATATATATATATATATATATATATATATATATATATATATATATATATATATATATATATATATATATATATATATATATATATATATATATATATATATATATATATATATATATATATATATATATATATTCTCACGTATTGATTCACGGATGGAAAAATGTGATGACACTATATTCCGGGATATCATCCGTTCGCTCGTTGAACTCCGACTGGAATCCTGCTTCCGACTGGAATCCTGCTTCCGACTGGAATCCTGCTTCCGACTGGAATCCTGCAGACGTTTCGCCAAAATCTCACTTGGCATCTTCAATGCTCGCGCTCCGAAAACACTTCGAACACTGGGAGGTTATCGGCGGTGCGTGTGGTATTTATACTCTGCGCCGGAGATGGTAACGGTGCTGCTTGTGCGTGGGGGGAGGTGGCTCCGCCCCCTGAATTGTCGCGTTGTTAATTTCGCCCGATCGTAGTTGCGATGTCCCCGTTGGCTGCTGCGCATCGCTCTGCTGTTTGATTATCGTTCTCCACGTGTTGGATAAATGCAGAGCGTCGTCTCTCGTATTGAGGTGTCCGGACTTTTCTATTTCGATGGCCTCTCGTATAATCCTAGTCCTAAAATCAGGAATATTAGCTATTTGTTTGCAAGTGCCGAAATCAATTTTATGGCCTGTCTGATGTTGGTGCTGAAACAAAGCAGATGTTGTTTGTTTGTTTCTTATGGCTAAACGATGTTCCTCGAGCCTGGCTGAAATCCTTCTGTTGGTCTGTCCCACATACGTCAGGCTGCACGATCCGCATGCTACACTGTATACTCCTTGGTTTTCCAGAGTAATTTTTTGTTTTGGGTTTCTTAGTATTGCTCCGATGGTATGGTCAGGTTTGTATGCTGTTGATATGTCGTGTTTCCGTAATATTCGGCCGATTTTGTCAGTAACCCCCTTGATGTATGGCAGGACAGCGATCGATCTTCGTTGGGTCTCGTCCTGCACTCTCTGCTGCGGCTGTTGTTGTTTATTGATTGCCTTGTTGATGGTGCGCCTTTGGTATCCGTTTTGTTGAAGACAGGTACTAATTTTCTTCAGTTCTTTATCTCTGTTCCTCTCGTTTGTGAGCCTGAAGGACCGAGCAATTAATGTATTTGCCACTGCCTGTATCTGTGATGGGTGGTGATGAGATTTAGCGTTCAGATATCTATTAGTGTGTGTTGGTTTTCTATAGACGGTGTGTTCCAAGTGTCCATCTTCGGTCCTTGTGATGTGCACATCTAAAAAGGGCAGACTGTTATCCTCTTCAAGTTCTATTGTAAATTGAATCCTTGGGTGAATGGAATTCAGATGATCTAGCAATTTCAAAAGCTCCTCCTTGCCAAAAGGCCATACAACAAATACGTCATCAACGTATCTTGTCCATAGTTTTGGCTTCAGATTTGCCTTCTCTATTGCTTTCTTTTCGAAGTAAATCATGAAGAGGTTGGCAATCACAGGTGAGAGAGATGATCCCATTGCTGCTCCATCTATTTGTCGGTAAATTTTCCCGTTGTGCATAAAGTAAGCGTTTTTCAGGCAATGTCTTGACAGATCCATTATGTATGGCGGAAGATCTTCGTTTTCTTCTATAAGCAAGAGTGCCTCTTCTACTGGAATACTCGGGTAGAGGGATTTGACATCGAAACTTGCCATAATGTCGTCCTTGTCCATCCTGAGAGAACCTAAAATCTGAGTGAAATGTTCTGAGTTTTTAACATAGGAATCTGCCTTTTCCACTATAGGCTGAAGTGCACTGGCCAGATGTTTTTCCAGCTTGCATAATGGTGAGTTAAAGGCGCTTACGATTGGACGCAGGGGAACCCCGTCCTTATGGATCTTTGGGAGCCCGTAGAATTTTGGGCAACGACTCGATTTTTCCCTCGGAATAAGTTTCTTCTTTGTATCCTCGTTTATTGATGAATCGAGAATTTTGGACTTAGTTGTTTTCTCCAAATATGTCGTGGGATCTCTGGTGACTAGTTTGTATATTGGGTCGTTCAAAATATCCTCCAATTTTGCATTATAATCCGACGTATTCATGACGACAGTGGCATTTCCTTTGTCTGCTGGCATTATTAGAATGTTTTCGTTTTTGTTTAGATTCCTTAAGGCTTGCATTTCTTCTCTGCTTAAGTTTGGTTGCGGTGGTTTTGACTGTCTTAAGACTCTGGCGACATCTTGCCTAATTAACTCCGCATCTTGTTCGTCTATGGTGGAAAGACTTGCTTCGACGTTGGAAACGATCTCTTCGACGGGTACTCTTTTTGGAGCTATTGCGTAGTTAAATCCTTTATTCAGTACGCTGACTTCTGTATCGGAAAGATGGTATGCTGAAATATTATGAACTGTACTGCTTCGGTTTGTGTTTGGCACTTGTCCTGATTTTTTGGAATTTGACTGAAGGATTTCTAATTTCTTCCACAGTTTTTTTGACGTGATGTCCTTGTCTTTCTCAGTGCGCCATGATGTTAATAATTCTATGCGGTCCCACAGCAACTGATGGATCTTGTTGCTCAGTTTCAGGTGGAGTCTGAAAAGTTGTAGCTCAGTCTCACTAATTTCGTACCGGGTCCGCCTGATCTGGTCTTGGAGTAGGGCCTTGCTAGCTTTGTCCAGGATAGCTTGTGTCTTTCTGGTGCGTGTGTGATAAGACAACCTTGTAAATGTTGGCAGCAAGTTCTGGTTGCGGCAGCTTTTAAGAAAATTCAAGTTGCACAGCGAAATAACCCTCCTTTGTCTTAGTTTTTCATAACACTTGGTGGCTGTAAAGGTCTCCTTCCCGTAAAGGTGTATGATATTCTCACGTATTGATTCACGGATGGAAAAATGTGATGACACTATATTCCGGGATATCATCCGTTCGCTCGTTGAACTCCGACTGGAACTGGAATCCTGCAGACGTTTCGCCAAAATCTCACTTGGCATCTTCAATGCTCGCGCTCCGAAAACACTTCGAACACTGGGAGGTTATCGGCGGTGCGTGTGGTATTTATACTCTGCGCCGGAGATGGTAACGGTGCTGCTTGTGCGTGGGGGGAGGTGGCTCCGCCCCCTGAATTGTCGCGTTGTTAATTTCGCCCGATCGTAGTTGCGATGTCCCCGTTGGCTGCTGCGCATCGCTCTGCTGTTTGATTATCGTTCTCCACGTGTTGGATAAATGCAGAGCGTCGTCTCTCGTATTGAGGTGTCCGGACTTTTCTATTTCGATGGCCTCTCGTATAATCCTAGTCCTAAAATCAGGAATATTAGCTATTTGTTTGCAAGTGCCGAAATCAATTTTATGGCCTGTCTGATGTTGGTGCTGAAACAAAGCAGATGTTGTTTGTTTGTTTCTTATGGCTAAACGATGTTCCTCGAGCCTGGCTGAAATCCTTCTGTTGGTCTGTCCCACATACGTCAGGCTGCACGATCCGCATGCTACACTGTATACTCCTTGGTTTTCCAGAGTAATTTTTTGTTTTGGGTTTCTTAGTATTGCTCCGATGGTATGGTCAGGTTTGTATGCCGTTGATATGTCGTGTTTCCGTAATATTCGGCCGATTTTGTCAGTAACCCCCTTGATGTATGGCAGGACAGCGATCGATCTTCGTTGGGTCTCGTCCTGCACTCTCTGCTGCGGCTGTTGTTGTTTATTGATTGCCTTGTTGATGGTGCGCCTTTGGTATCCGTTTTGTTGAAGACAGGTACTAATTTTCTATATATATATATATATATATATATATATATATATATATATATATATATATATATATATATATATATATATATATATATATATATATATATATATATATATATATATATATATATATATATATATATATATATATATACAGTGGGGTTGCTGCCACATCCCACATTTCGACCGCCATTTCTCTTTATTCCTCCACTCATCTTCTTTAATTGCTCTATCCTTCATTATATTTCTTATACCATCGTTCCATGAGGTCATAGGTCTTCCTTTTTTCCTTCTGTTTTTGGGGGTATATTTTAGTGCTCTTTTTGGCCATCTCTCATCGTTCATTCTCTGTACGTGCCCATACCATATAAGTTGTCTAGTTTCTATTCGGTCAGTGCTGGTATGTATTCTCCCTGTTCTTCTTCGTATTTCTTCATTCCTGACGTGTTTTACTCTCGACACTTGGCGTGCTCTTCTCAAGAAATCTATTTGTACTGAGTCGATAACTTTCTTCTCGTTCTTCGTCATTTGCCAGCATTCTGCGCCGTACGTTAAGATGGGTTCCACAACTGCTTCATATATTCTAATTTTCGTACCTATTTTAATACCGGTGGACCACAACAAGGAATTAAGCGCTTGAGTTGCTCTTCTTCCCTGCTGAGCTCCATTTTGAATGTCTGTTTTTGAATTACCTTCTTCCGTTATGACGCTTCCTAAGTACTTATAATTTGTAGCTCTTTTTATTTTTCTAACATATAGTTCAGGATCTTCATCTTCGTGTTTTCCTCCTACTTTCATATATTCAGTCTTCTGCATATTCAGTCCCCAATTCTCATAGTGTTCTTTCACATTTCTCAGCATGTAATCTGCGTCGTCTTCATCGCAAGCTATCATCACTTGATCGTCTGCAAAAAAGAGGCTCGTCAAATATTTGTCATCTAAATTTACTCCCATACTTGCTATTTTTTCCCTCCACTCTCTTTGGGCTTCCTGAATATATATTTTGAATAGAGTAGAGGACATGCTACAGCCTTGTTTTAATCCTTTGTTCACTGAAAAACGGTTCATATATACACACATATACATTGTTGAGTCCGGTTGTCATTAATACTTCAAACATTTTCTTTAAGGGTACCCTGTCATATGCCTTTTCAAGATCTATAAATACTAAATTGGTAGTTAAGTTGGATCTTAAATTTAAAACAGTTCAAATTTCCGTGGTCTTTGTTTTGCCTAACTACAAAACGTTTCGGATATGTGGATCATTGTCCTTTACCAATTACATACTAAACTAACTCCGACGACTATTCATCTTTTTTAATTTTTCACTTTTACAAAATAGGTTGTCTGGGGACAAGACGGACTTCTGACCATTTTATGATGTGTTGTTTCGACCAAACGTGCTCCGCCATCTTAGATCTCAATATCAATTCACGAAGTGCTTGACAGAGGTCCCCTCTCCCTCACTTGTTTTGATGTTTATGTTCTTTCGCTATACGGTTTTATTTGATGTACCCTTTACACACAGAATCGTTAAGAATTAACTTCTCAGTTAGGCGTTTTATCGAGTATTTTACAATTGGTCATAATAATAATGAAAAATTTCTCAGCATAAAATTATAAGTAGCAACGTATTGCTACAAAACTAGTTAATGTCGTGGATGTAAAAACCTTGCTAAATGAAATAAAGACTTTACCTTAGCCATCCATTAATATTAATTTCTGATTTCTGGATGCTAACAGAAACGACTACAGACCAAAACTACATTCAAGAAACAAAGAGCAAACAAAAGAGCCGGTTATTACGTATATTCAAAGTACATTTTTCTGGATATTTTTGTAAACATGTTCTATATCTGCAAATAAAACTGCCGCAAAATAAACGTTAACAGACTAATAATCGTTAATCCTTTCATTAAAAGGCAGGCAAATACTCCGAGCGTATTTAATAGCGTCGTTGTGTTGTTATCTACTTCGTCACGCGTTTTGGCACCCTTTATTGTCGTGGTTGTGAGGAAGCTGCCTGCCAGCAAATTTAAAAAGCAGATTTTTGTACAATATTTGCGCAACAAATATTATTGTTTAACAAAATTTTAATGTATGTTTGTCGAGTGTTATAAAAAGTTTTTATAGAACTTCACATCCACGTTTATATTATTTTCTTTAAATCCTTTGTTCGAGCTGTTGTCGATAAAGTAGGTGTTGTTTCAAATTATTCCAGAATAAACTTCTTCTTTTACCTACGAGGATAACAGATTAGGTTAGCGTCAGTTTCAGCTTGGCAGAGTGATGTACGTTGTGACAAGCGCATTATGAGCAAATTTGTAAATTTACTTATTTTAAATGAGCTACAAGAAATATGCAGGTAAAGCTTTCTATGGACATCTGAAAAACTGCACATTCCTTTTTTACTTTGACGAATTGCGAAGGGATCGGAGTATTTCGTTTGAAGTGTGAGATTTGGAATTTTTAGATTTGTTTTAAAGAAGTTGAGTGCAGTAAGAGAGGCTGATTACTAAATCAAAGAAAACGACATACTTACATATGGAGGATGTATTTAAATTTGTGTACAGTTAAAATGAAACAATTACACAGGTCTACAAAATTAAACTTTTTGGAAGATGCTTTTTTTTGAAAATATTGTTGCAATACACTAGCGGTCTGAGTAAAATTTTGACAACTGTTTTTCGCCATCCGGGTAAATGCTTGTCAGGAAGTCTGAACGCTAACAATTCGGATGCATTCTTTGGAAGATGCAAATCTCTAATTAAATCATTTATTTTCCTTTGGTTAAACACTTCGCGCTCTCTGAAATCTGGTATGAAATCTGACTTATCAGGGTGGGAATCAAATTCCTCTGGTTCTGACCGTGTCTTTATGAAATGTTCATTTGATAAAGACACGGTGTTGTCGAAACAATTGTCATGTCATAATATATAATTTCGTGAAAATCTGAACTTTTAGTTCTTATTTATTTTGATAAATGGATTTTCATCAAGTAAAAGCCACATCAGTTCAATTTAACAAAATTTATTTGGATTGTTCATACAATGTCTTTTTTCCATATTTATATGTCTTAGAACACCAGAAATGCGCAACCACGAAGACAACAGCCGCTAACATAATAGCACGACGACCAATAAAACCAAACTGCGCCAACTCTGTAGTTTTGCAGATAAATATAATGTTGCCCAATCACATTTAATTTCATAAAAATCAATTCATTTAAAAATCATGCCTAACATGGAGCAGAAATATAATGTTGCCAAATCACATTTAATTTCATAAAAATCAATTCATTTAAAAATCATGCCTAACTTGGAGCAGAAATATAATGTTGCCAATCACATTTAATTTCATAAAAATCAATTCATTTAAAAATCATGCCTAACATGGAGCAAACATTTTGATGTTATAAACAAAATTACATTTTTAAGATATAGAGCGCTACAAAAAAAAGATTTGCTAGATCAAAGATATGGCGTTTCTTGGAAGAAGGGTCCCAAAAATATACAAATAAGCAAACAGTGTTATTTATTCAGTTGCTTGACAGGACTTTTCGGTGTTTTATATAAGCGCGTAGGAATCTAATTATTTCAGAGCGTAGTATTGTCCAGATGTATTTTTTAAGCGGCCTATACACATACAGGCAAGTGTTAAGACTTGCCTGTACAGGTCGAGACACGCGAGTAAGTGCGAATGTGTATGGGTCAAAACTCAAGGCGCGTTCAGTTCCAAGCGCGGCTCGAAGCGATTCAGATTGTGTCTGATTTTTAGAGCAAGTGCGAAGGCCCACTTCATTTTTCGAAACAGCAGCAGACCTCACCGACTGGTTTACCTGGAGGTTTACCTGATTAGTGTGTGGCCGCAATTCGTTTCGCACTTGCTCGCATGTGTATAGCCCCATTAGCTTTCTCGTTTCATCGTGCTTGTATTAATTTCTTAAAAATCAGTAAAAGTAACGCGAAAAAATTGCTAAAATGTTTATTCAAAGCAAATAGATATCAATAATTTAAAAAAATTAATTTTCAAGATATCATCATAGATCATGATATCTGTATTAAATATCTACTTGCATTCTACCTATATAGAAACACCATCTCGTATTCCTGTACAATTTTTTAAATTTCCATTATTATTACCTTATAAGTCTCTATTTCTTGGTATGTTGCTGTTTCATGCCTCTGATACGTCTTTAAGAATATTTGTACCTACCATTTATTTACTTATGCAAATTTAATTAGTTTTTACTACGAACAAAACCTGCTGATTAGCGGGATTCGTTGTTTTATTACTAGCAGTAGATCTGCACAAGCTTTGTAAGAAAAACCTTGTTTGAAAACAGTACTGCCAATCAAGCACCTTTTTTCAGCTGATTTCCCTACTGATCTTCATAGACGTCGATGAAACAGAACCGCGCACAGGTATTCTTCTCTTTCTTGAAGCCGTTTAAACGTATAATGATACGTAAGGTTTTGTCGAAGGTGTTGTGACGTTATCTTTACGATTTATATTATATTCATTTGGACAGAGATAAAACTTGAGCGAAAATAAAAATAAATAGTTGTTCAATAATTAAGTGTGCGTAGTGTGGCTTTTATTTGAAATTGATTGACCGATGTATAAATTAAGACAATAAATTTGAAAACCAAATATGAACAATGTAAAATCGCAAAATCGTTCTAAATGCTACATGCGGTATTAGCAAATTTCTAGTTTCAATTTATATTTGGAAGCTTGGCGCGCCTGTTGCCAAAGTTTCCCTGCCAAGAGCTGGAAAATCAATCGATTTCAAATTATGTAAATATGGGCAAAACTACTTATTGAAAGAACAATAAAATCATATCGTACAAGTTTTCATCTATTTGGATTGAAACAGTCGACAGAGCTTACGCTTATAGGAGTTTGATTTTCGTTTTATATGGGTGACTCATCAAAAACTTACTGCAAAGAATTAAGTACAGTCACGAAAAGATCGTTTCGACAAAATCCAAAAACACATCAAGTTTGTGTGACAGGGGGACAAATTTTGACACAAAAAGCATGACAAAACAGGTTGTCATAGGACTCCACTTTCTAAAACATGACTTTTCTTCGAACTCTTGGCGCCAACCGTGCATAGTCGGCTTGTCTTCGTGCACCCAGCAATAAACCTGGCCTCCAGCCATTCGCCTTCAGGGTTAAGCTGTATAGTCTGCTTGTCCTTTGGACTCCCTTTTTGCCTTCTCTAAGTGCTAGTCGTGCCTGCAGGGCTTACAGTTGCAAGTGCCATACTATAAGTCCAGAATTCAACAAAATTGAAGTATTCTTGTAAAGTTAGTAAGACGTGACAAGCTAAATTTACATTATGACACTAACGATACATGTTTAATCTGGTAAAAGCTCTGTTTTTTGAATAGGACTCTAGTTACATAATTTGAAATGTAATCTTATGTTATTTTCAATATTGGAAAAATGTACTAAGTGATAATTCAATCAATCAATGAAACTGTTTTATTTGCGAGACTATAGACGTCGACAATTTTTTACAATTATGATACTTAGGACAATTTAACAATCTATTAAATTAAAATTTCCATAGCTGATAATAAAAAATAACCGAAGTAATGTGACTATGTCAACTGTTTATCATAAATTTACTTTTCAGTAACTGAAACCATAAACTTTGCCATGAAAAAAGTTTATTTTCTATCTCAGATATTTTAACAAAACATTTAAGGGGGCGATTTTTGGATGCACTTAAAAATTAGATGAATATGTGTCCTAAACGTCTTAACTTTTGAGGTAGGTACATAAATATAAAATATTTTTTTAAATCTGTAATACCACTTTAGATATTTTAATAAAATTTGGCACACATATAATACGTATCAAGAGGTATTACTTAGTGTACCACTTTTTTTTAAATACATAAGAGAAATTAGTTTTTGTTTCCAAGTAAAAACGTGCGACGGACTAAAAAAAATCAAATCCGCTCATGAATGAATAGAAATATTATTTTTAAAAAAAAATCAGTAGCGTGCCACTGACTGTCTACGGACAAATAATATTTTGGTTAATTAGTTTGTGTTTACATATTCGTTCTTCGATTTTTTGAAGTATTTTAGTAAAACAGATAAACTATTACTTAAAGTAGAAATAATAATGATCATAATGATAATGATTCTCTTCATACTGTCATCTGCTGCTGTATCTCAAAAGTTAAGACGTTTAGGACATATGTTAATATGAAGTTTTCTTATTAAAATGGACCCAAAAATCGATCCTTTAATTATTG